ACACACACACACACACCCTTGCCAGACCAGGATATGGGTGGCATGTGAGGGAGGCGGATGTTTGGTTGATAACAACTCTCTAGCTACTAATGGAGGGGAGCAGAGGATGTCAGGCTAACATCTATGCCACAGTGGGCATCCCAGGCCTCCCACTGAAACCCATAACAAAAGAGTGTGGGTGTGGGTGTGTGTGCGTGTGTCTCAAATCTGCATTTTTACACAATAATGCACAGTCAGTGATATTGTTGTATACACTTGAAAGCCCCAAATAGCTTGATTTCCATTCCATCCATTTCCTGTCTCTCTCTATCTGGCTCTGTCCATTAAAGGCCAAAAAGCCTGAATGATGATTTAAAAGCAGCTAGCACCGAAGTGGGTTAGAAGTCTCTATGTTGCTCAGAATGTTTGCTTAATTGGCTGCTTTGAAATGCACTTCAGGTAAAGCGGTGTTAAGTCTCAGTTCAAGTTTTCATCCATTTTGATTGACGTCAGTGTAACTGAGCAGCTTGTGTTTTTCCACCGGGTCAGAAAAACAAACTCCTCTTCTGCAGATGTTTATGAGGAGAATGATTTTAAAAGTCCGAGCCAAACAAATTGCAATCATTTGCTCTGGTACATCCTGTTATCCCAATTTTTCTAGCCTGCTTAGCTTCACCTCTGGCATAAGAAGTGTAAGATCAGGGCTACTCATTAACACACACACACACACACACACACACACACACGCCCCTAAATCCAACGCTATAATTTTGGACCGGGCTCGGAAGGAGTTTTGCCATCAGGCACTCTGAAGTAATTCAGCAGATGCTTTGATGCATCTCAGCAGAACAGCGGGGGTCTGCTTGTGATGTGGAAGTATGTTAGTACTTGCAAACACACAGAAACACATGCATGCACAAATATACGCAAAAAGTAAACAGAGATTTACTCTGAAATGCAGTGCACAAATACACACATTTGATTTACTTACCTCCTACGAGGGGAAACAGTTAAGTCTTAAGGATGAGGCACTTACTGTATTAAGGAATCTTTACTTTTTATAGCAACATTATGTAACTTTTCTATCTTAAAATAGCAGCTTCAAAACCATTTTGCTGCACTGAGTTGTAATAGGGTGAATGGGTGCCTCTGTCATTCACACACTGCCTGTTCTTGCACTATATAACTTTGGCTCAGTACTAGTGCGTAATGCTCTACGGCAGTAGTCACACACCACCAGCAATGTCACTGACCATTTTTTAATTTTACTTATGTATATACCTATACATTCATTTCTATTCTGTATATTGTGTTAGATATTGTAATATAAGTATTATTTCTATTCTTTACCATGTGTGAGTAGAACAACTGTAACAAACAAAAATTTCACCCCGGGATCAATAAAGTATTTCTGATTCTGATTCTGATTCTGATACATTAATTAACCAGTTGGATACAACTAGGACCACAGTCATTGTTTAAAGAAACCAACCCCGACCTCCAACCTCTGCGGACTTTGTGCCTCTATAGTAATGTCTGCTGTATCCCATAATCCCTACAACAACGTATCATATATTCTTTTGGGGGATTTGCTGAAATGACATTGCCATGCTATTGTCAACATTAAGATGTTAAATCAACTTCTGTTTCTGCTTATTTGGAATGTAAAACTAAGAAGTAGCAAAAACTGCAGTTCCTCGAACAGCCACTGGACCAAGAGTCCACCTGAAAACACACAGACTACATTTTCTGTCTTTGGTTATGACTAAGCCAACCAAACTACTGAAGTGAAAGCCCCCACAGTCACAAAGCAAAAAGCTATGTGAGACTGGGAGCTGCTGTTGTTCTTGATTAGAAGTGACAGTCCTCTGAAAGCTCAGGTTATTTCAGACCAAACATCATGACACCTCCATGGTGGATGAGGGAGTGAAATTAATTTGTGCTTAGCATGGAGGGCGAAGAATATCTGCCCACTGAAGCGGCGTCCTTTTAAGCCTGAAGAAAAAAAACCTATAGAGGAAGAAAAAAGGGGAATTGACAGAAAAACGGCGAAGAGAGGAATATCTGAGTAGAATACAGTACAACATGTATTCTTAGTCAGATCCTCAAGGTCAAAGCAGGCTCCCTCAAGATGACGGATCATATGCTAAATCTGGACCGCTCTAATGGAAACCTGCTGCGATGAAATGTTCATACCGACACGCACAAGCACACAGTGAAGTGGCAGATTTCAGATCCAGCTGTGTGTACAGACAAAAATGCTGACAGCGGCTGTCAGATACACATGTGAATGAGTAAAACAAGGCTGCAAGCACATGGACAGACACACGCACAGACAACAACTACGAGACACGCCAGCATGCACGTGTATGCTTGTATTTGATGCGTTGTTGTTACATAGGCTAAGGGTAAACGCTTACAAAGTTGCAAACGTCATAGTGCAGTGCTAAACCTGCATGCCATATTAAAGAGAACAGAAGCAATGCACTGTGGTCATAAAGAAGAATTGCTGATTCATTATGTTTTAATGAATCAGTTATTAAATGGGCCTGGTTTCCACCCACTGACCATCTGTGTCACCTTAGCTCTACAGAGCTGCTGGGATACAAACCAATCATAAGGAAATTACATGAATGTGACGCCTACATTGCCCCTGCTCATGCCTTAAAATTACAGCATGCACATGAAAGCTCAGCTAATATGTAGAGTTTAGTTTAACTACTCTGTACAGGACCTTGAATCTACCTCTGTGTATAAGACATGCTTTATAAATGAAAACCTCCATCATGACCCAGTGAACAATCCCCCTACACTGCAGAGGTAATAAAAAAAGACATAAAAACTAAATCAAATTTACAATGAGCAGCTACTGAGTCCACACCTCTCATCCATATCAGTGTGAGTTCAGGTGCATCACAATTAGGCCTGGTTGTTTTTTAATTAGCCTAATTAGCTAATTAGCTAAAACACCACATCTAGCTGCAGGCTTCATTTGACCACAGCATGACTTAAGTGACAAAGGGAGCAGCCAAATGCACAGTTGCACTAATATAAGGATCAGTGATGATACAAACCATCTTGTGTGCAAAAAAAAACAATGACTCATTCTATTTAGTTTCCACAGTCATGCTACCATCTATAAAATATATCTAATTAAAGCTGCTCTTATGAATATTTTTACATTAACAATGGATCAAATGACTACGTGTAATAGGAAAGGTGTCGCTCGTTGATGAACTCACAGAGAATTATCACCTCCCCTCAGCACTACAGAGCACTTTACCATGTGTTAAAGGTCCATTGCCAACTCATTGTTTTAGTTGTTCAGCCAGTAACTTTATTGTTTTGGTTCACTCTCATTGCTCTCACTGGTGTCATTTTCACCCACAGTGGGCAGCTTTTTGCAGTGAAAAAGCTCTAAAAACCCACAGTACACGACCTGCTCGGCACCAAACATCAGACAGATAGTTATTGACTAGCTGGTGTCGAACATTGAGCATCCGAACAACCAGATATTTCCCCCATGAGTTGGTGGTGAACAAAACGGAGCTAAAGGAGAGTGAACATTGGGTTTACATTGATCAGGTGGACATAAACACAATTCTAAATTGATGCTAATGTTGCTCCGTTATTCATTATTAGATTAACAAGCGTGCTGTTTAAGTGCTGGATGTGTAAATGAGCATCTCTTTTTGAACATGTTCGCCATAACGCCTTCTAACCTGTGCCAAGTTGCAAAAACCCCCATCAATTAATGCAGATTTTATGAAATATGAAAGTTATAATCAGATATCAGTTTCATATTAAGTAATTAGCATAATTATAACTAGCATAATGATCACAGTACGAGCACCTAAGCTCTGACTTCTCATCCACATTGGTTAGCAGAAGTTATCTATAACTGCATGAATACAAGGAAATACAATACCACAACCATAGTCCATCACTCAACTCAAAGGTGGGTCGGCTCCCCCGACAGAATAACCAGCACTGTCAAACACCAAACTCTGGTCTGGGTGGAACTAAAACCAACTTCATCACTTTTTTTCATCACCATGGCCCTTTTAATTGGTCATATCCAAGAATGTCGTGAAACTATTTTTTTGGTACATCTTCTATGCATTTTATTTACACAACACGGGTCTAAAATAGAGGATTTTGACTTTGATAAGATTATCTCATGTCAAACCAGCTATTTCAGTTTCCAGTACCGATGCATTTGCTAGCAGGACAGAGAGTTGTTTATTGTCTGCCCACCAGTATGGCAGGTAGGCTGTTTTGTCACATCTAGGGAAGACAGAAGCAAGCTTGGTATAACCTCCTCTTTTTTTTTTAACACTGTGAACCTCAACTAGTGTCTACCTTCCCCCCTCTGCACCACAGAGGAACTGAGTGAAGAACGTAACGTT